ATTATTTAAATTTGTTAGAAAAAAATTAATGTCTTTAAACAAATCATTCTCACCACCTTTTTTTTTTGTTTAGGCCGTTACTTCTTTTCATTTAATATAAAATCTATAATTAAATTAAATAATCCCTATAATATATTTATGAATGAAAAACATTATGATTGGTCCTTTAAACAACCATTTTGAAACACCAATGTTTTAGAGATTTTTTTTTTTTCTAAAAAAACACCATTATTTTATCTTGTTAGTTCAGCTTCAGCATGTGCATGATTCTTCCTTCCTTCCTTCATCCTTCCTGGCCGCTCATGATGTCTTTTCTTTGACTCAAAGTCTCACATTTTCTCCATGTAATAAAATACAATTTCAAAAAAGTATTCTTCAATTCAAATATAATGCAAGTATATGTACTATAAGCGTTCTCATCCCAAATTATCAATTCCAGACAGCATCCAGACACGTTGGAAATTGTTTGCCTCCACGTGCTCTCCACTCCCAACCTGATAAAAACCAAAAAACTTAGAAACCAGAGAAATCCATTCAACCCAGAAAAGGAATGTCCAAGAAACAGGTTCTAAGCCTAACCCAGTTCAATCTTGTCAACAGAAACACAACAGTATTGTACGGCTATGTTCATCTTACACCCATGTTATGTTTTCTTCTCCGTCTTTCTCCTCCTCCTCCTCCCTGTTTCATCTTCTCTCTCTTCACCTTCACCTGCTCTTCCCCTTCTTCAGTTCCTCCACAGTCTTCCCAAAAACAGTCAGCAAATTCTTTCATGGAATCAATCTTCTTCTTCTCCTTGCCAATGGGAGGGAGTTTCCTGTTACTCAGGCAACACTTTCCGTGTGAAAGCTTTTAACTTTTCAGGATTCCAACTTCCCGGTGTGTTGAACGATTCTGTTTCCTACCTTTGTCTTCACCAGGGCTTGCGATCCATTGATCTCAGTGGCAATAACTTCACCGGAATAATCCCTCCGGTTCTGGATTATTGCGGGCAACTCGACACCATTCTGCTCAATGACAATGCATTGGATGGTTCGATCCCGCCGGAGCTTTTCATGTCGAAGAGGCTGAAAAGGCTGGACTTGGGATTAAATTCACTTTCCGGGAAAATCCCACCGGAGGTGAGTCTCTGCAAAAATCTTGAATATCTTGGTCTGTACAATAACTTCTTGAGCGGTGAAGTTCCCATCGGAATATTTTCTCTACCCATTTTGAAGACTCTGTACCTGAACACCAATAACCTAACAGGATCTTTACCAGATTTCCCACCTAACTGTGCAATTTCCGATTTCTGGATTCACGAGAATGAATTTTCCGGTTGTCTACCTCGCTCATTAAGAAATTGCTGGAACCTAACTGCATTTGCAGCATCTCACAATGGTTTTGGAGGGGTGATTCATCCGGAGATTTTTGCGCGTCTTTCAGAACTAGAAATTCTCTATCTTGATGAAAACAATCTTGAAGGGGAAATTCCGGCGGCATTATGGGGTCTAGAGAAGTTACAAGAGCTTGTCCTTTCCGGCAACAGGCTGAACGGAACTATCTCCGAGAAGATGGGTCGTAGCAATCAGCTTGTGACACTTGCACTCTCAGGTAATAATCTGACCGGTAGCATTCCTAGATCGATCGGAAATCTTACTGCTTTGAACTTTCTGTTTCTGTTCGATAATATGCTTCATGGGTCATTGCCTCCTGAGCTTGGAAATTGTAGTTCACTTCTCGAACTCAGGCTTCAAAATAACTTCATTAGAGGCACTATTCCTTCAGAAATCTGCAACCTAGAAAATCTCGAGGTTCTTTATTTGTTCAACAATCAATTTGAGGGCTTAATTCCACATGAAATTGGTAAAATGAGCAGTCTGGTGGAGTTGGCTTTGTATGATAACAATTTGACGGGTAGAATCCCCTCGGATATAGCTAGGTTGAAGCAATTAACATTTCTATCCTTAGCTCACAATGGTCTGACGGGAGAGCTGCCGTCGGAGCTTGGGAAATATTCATCTGGCCTATTCAAACTCGATTTATCAGGGAACCACCTGGATGGACAAATTCCATCTGGTATTTTCGCAGGCAACAATCTTTCGGTTTTGATCCTCGGAAACAACCGTTTCAATGGAAGCTTTCCAGCTGAAATTGGCAAATGTTATTCTCTGAGGAGGGTGCGCCTTAATAACAATCTTTTGCAGGGGAATGTACCGGTTGATATGGGAAAGGATTCTGGGATTGTTTTCATGGATATTCAACGAAACTTGCTTGAAGGTGCAATACCAGCAGTATTTGGTCATTGGACCAATCTCTCTATGCTTGATTTGTCAGAAAATAGGCTTACAGGCTCTATACCTTCCGAGCTCGGAAACCTTAAGAATCTACAGATGTTGAGGGTTTCGTCGAATGGACTGATCGGGAGCATTCCCTCTGAGTTGGGGAGTTGCAGAAAGGTACTGAAGCTCGATCTTAGCAAGAATTATCTTTCAGGAAGTATTCCTTCTGAGATAGTATCATTGCCAGAATTGCAGAGCCTTCTGCTTCAAGAGAACAGACTAAGTGGATCTATTCCGGATTCCTTTTCACCTCTTCAGAATCTATTTGAATTACAGTTAGGAAGTAACGTGCTTCAAGGTCCTATCCCTTGCAGTTTGAGTAACCTTCACCATTTCAGTTCAGTGCTTAATTTGAGCAACAACAGGCTCTCTGGTGAAATCCCTGCCTGCCTCGGCAAAATAGACAAGCTGCAGATTCTTGATCTCTCAAGCAACAATTTCTCTGGTGAAGTACCAACAGAGCTGAACAACATGATCTCCCTTGATTTTGTGAATATATCATTCAATCACCTGAAAGGTGAGCTGCCAACTACTTGGATGAAGATGCTAGCTTCATATCCCGGGTCATTTCTTGGAAACCCGGAACTTTGCTTGCTGGGTGATGAAACTGCTTCTTGTCATAAAAGCCTAGAGGGCAAAACAAGTCCTAGGATAGTGGCTGGCATAGTTACTGGTGTAGTTTTATCTGTGGCATTGCTTTGTGTTGTGATATATGTGTTGGTAGTTCGAGCCCTTCAACAGAAACGTTACTCCGTTCTCCATGAATGTCAATCAAGAACTGAAGATTTGCCCAACGATTTGAAGATTGAAGATATAATTCGAGCTACCGAAGGATGGAGTGAGAAGTATGTCATCGGAAGAGGCAAACATGGTACAGTGTACAGGACAGAAGGTTCATCCAGGAATGATTGGGCTGTCAAGAAGGTTAATTTGTCTGAAGCGAACTTTAGCCTTGAGATGAAAGCCTTGAGCTTAATTAGGCACAGGAATATATTGAGAATGGCAGGTTGCTGCATCAGAGATGGATGCGGTTACCTTGTTACCGAGTACATGCCTGGCGGAACAGTTTTTGATGTGCTGCACCAAGGAGAACCACGGATGGTTTTAGACTGGAAAACTAGATACCAAATAGCTTTTGGCATAGCTCAAGGTCTTTCCTATCTCCACCATGATTGTGTGCCACAAATTATCCATAGAGATATCAAGTCACAAAACGTTTTGTTGGATTCTGAATTTGAACCGAAGATTGGAGATTTTGGAATGGCAAAATTGGTCTCTAGTTCTGATTCAAACTCAACAATGTCTACAATAGTCGGAACCTTAGGCTACATAGCACCAGGTTGGTTTAGTTACCCTTACTATTTCTTCAGTTGATCTTGAAAAACATTTAGAGGCTGAAGTTTCTAAACTCTATCTTGCATTCTTGTCTTCAGAGAATGCATTCTCCACGCACTTGACAGAGAAATGTGATGTCTATAGTTACGGCGTGATTCTGCTGGAGATTCTATGCCGGAAACTGCCTGTAGACCCCTGCTTTGAAGAAAGCTTAGACATTGTCTCATGGTGTAGTAGAAAACTACAGGAAGATGAAGAATGCATTTGCTTCCTGGACAAGGAGATTAGTCTCTGGGAAAACAACGGGCAACAGAAGGCTCTAGATTTGCTGGAATTGGCACTTCAATGCACGCAAAGAGTGGCTGATAGAAGACCCTCCATGAGGGATGTTGTAGCTTCTCTTGTCAAGCTAAATGATAGGCATGAAAGAACCAAAAAACAGACAAATAGAATCGAGGCTTCATCTGGCTTCAATTAAATTTCAAATCAACAGTTGTTTTCATAACACAAGGTTTAAACAATGTCGAATACTCGAGCACAGTGTAAGTAGTACATAACAGTTAAAGTGATGATTGTTTCTTTATTTAGAGGGTGTAAAAACAAAAACCCCCTTCTAAGATATTAACTTTCATGGGGTCACAACATCAGCTGCAGAAAGTTGTCTGGAATGACCTACTCTGTTGCTTGACTTGCTTCCACATGTGAAACTTCAGTTTTTTTCAAATTTTCTAGAACAGAGATTCGCCCATCCAGTGATTCGTGAACAGCTTTAACCTGAAGGAAACAAAAATGGGTATGTGAAATGATATAACTGTAAAAAGCAAAATATAAATAAATATATATATATATATATCCCACAAATACTTTGGGTCAAGTAATTAAAAAAGCACGCATATATCTCATATGAATAAACAAAAATTTCATTTCGATAGAACAAACATTCTTCAATTTTTCTTCCTCATGTTTCAGTACAACATAGCCTACATAGGTTAGCATCTTGACACTCAGATCACTTCCCTGTCTTCAGTAGTTCAATTTTAAACACAAAAGGAAATAGTAACCACAAAGATCACCAAAAGCAACTAGGGATGCAACTGGCTGTGACAGCAACCAGTTTTCTTGAGTATCCAAAATTTTAGCACAAACCAATCACCAAAAATAGAAAGGTTTCTTGTACAAACCAGAGTTTTCATATTTTTGCCATAGCTGGGGAGAGGGGGATCTGTATCTAGATTCTAGTCCATGATAATTATGTGCTAAAAGAACAGAACAGGGTCAAAACCATCAGCATTCTCACACAAAATAGCCTCTTGCATGACTTTAACCACAACTTGGGCTTGATAACTACTATGTTTTCACCATTAAATTGCTTTCTGCCATTTAAAACTCATATCTTTGGTCTAAAAGATGGCATGTTTCTGCATATGTTGCCCAGCAGTCCAGGCACTGAAATAGAATTTGAAATTATTTGAATATGAAATTTTGACAAAACTTAAGGTAACCAGTATATCTGCTATGATGTGTCAATATGATTATCAGAGAATGCCAAGATACCACAATAGGGAAGAATCCCATACACCCCTATAGAACTGAATCCCAATAGGGAATGCAAAATTATCCATACCTATGTGGCTGCTCAAAAGCAATTTGGTTAATCCACATTATACTTCCTAAAACGTACATAAACAATTAAACCTCCTGCATTTTTGTCAACAAGATCTGTCATAAAGCAGTATAACTCTCCTATATTAACTAAGATGGAGAAAGCAAGCATTCCATCCTAATTCCTAAATGTTGCAACATTGAGCCACAGTGATTGGTGAAGCTAGAAAGCAATGTGAATTTCACTAGATTTTATGCCCGAAATTCAACCTGTTAAAACCTAATCCATTCATCCAACAAAGTAACATCCTCCTACTTTCTTTGCTAAATGAGAAAATATCCCCACCAAACCAAAGAGGATGTAGAATGAACACCATGAAATCAATCTAAGCAGAAAATCTCTGACCACCTATCCTCTTCTACACTAAGGAGTTTGTTAATCCAAGTTACAGTAACTAGAACCGACAGGCTATATACCAATAAAAGAAACCCTATGCACTTCCATGTGTGCAGATCCACAATCCTCCAGTTTCATATAAGCATCAAGCAGGCCACATAATTACCAATTTTACAACCATTTGATGCTACCCATGAGACCCATGTTGCTTTTCCTAAGCTACAAAAAAAAAAAAAAAAAAAAAAATCGTTTTATGGCAAATCTATTATTCAAAAAATCAACTTTGGCACCACCCACGAATCGATTTCAATCTCTGATTCAATTTCCTTCTCTACCTCTACGAAATGGGTTTCATAAACAATACCCACAAAATTAATGTAAACCTACAAAATCCACCATGAGCTACTCGAAGAACCAATTAATTGATTTCCTGTGGGAATTCAAAGAACTCTGGAAATTGAATATGGGAGAACTAGCAGTACCTGTTGAGAGATTGATTCATGAGCGACCTTGTAATCCTTGTAGAGGATGTAGAACCCCAGCAACGATGCCGTCGCTGCACCGGTGAAGAAAGACGCCAATCTCACCCGCAATACGTATCCCATCTTCTCCTCCGTTTCCCCTCGTGTTTTTTCGGCTCTTTAAATGATTTTCAGTAAACCTTAACCATTCAATTTGATGATTTGATCCCTAATTTTATATTGAGCTTTCAATTGGGTCCTAAAACATTTTTTATGCAAATTGGGTTCCAAAAGTTTTTATCATTTTCCATTATCATTTCCGAGTTTTTCCAACTAAAACCTTGGCATAATCTATCTTTTCCTTCTTTCCTTCAATTTTCTTTGTATGATTTATTGGATCTAACAAGAATAACAAAGGGATTTTTTTTTTTAAAACATCAAGGAAATACATCATTGAAAATATTTTTAGTATATAATATATGATAGGTATAATATATGATAGAGGACGACCAATTTTCCCCCAAATACCACACCGTGCTTCCCACAAGTCAAAAATGAAAATTTCAAAATGAGAGTTCAAATTCTTCATCATTAAAACTATCACTAAAGCACTTTTTTATAGAATAAATTAATTAGTTAAAACTCTCATAAAAAAAAAATGTCTGAGCTTTGGTTATAAGGGTGAGGAAGTGCTTTTGACTAATAGCTTGGCTAGTTATTTTATAGGTCTTCCTCTATTATGATATTTAATCAAAATAATTAAATAAAGAAGGGGAGAATATCTAGGGCTAGTTTGGTTAGAGGGCTATTTTATTAGAAAAATTTTTGTTGAAAAAGTGATTAAAAAAGTATTGTATGAAAAGTAACAAAAAAAATTTTAAGTTTCGTAATGAAGTTTTATTGGAATTTTATTATGTTATTAACTTTATTGTGTTTAGTAAAAAACTGATATAGGAAAAGTTAGTAAGGAAAGTTGTTAAATGAATCAAATATAAGGTAACTTATAAGGAAACTTTTTTCTTTAAAAATAAGTGAGAAGAAAGTTTTATATATTGAGAATTATGTCAAGGAAAATAAATACTGAAAATGCAACTTTTATCTTCCTTTTATTATAGTATTAATATATAAAAATACATAAATAATCTCAAATGTATATACAAAGAATTTCTTTTTTTAAACTTTTTACTATTAGATAGTGTCCATAAATCTCATGATATGTACCCAAAGATTCATAATGAACTTCGATGGGAGTTTCACTTGAAGCAATAACGCGTTGATCTAGTTGCCACCGGAGCCACAAAGGACTATTTAAATTGATTTTTTTCTGCCGATAAGCCCCAATTGCATCATAAGAATCACAAAAAAAGGGATCCTTTGTATACTTATAGTTATTATCGTCAATTCTTTCATTTTGATAATTTCTTCAATTACATGGATTATACCTATTTGCACAATTACCTCGACGATTCCCACTCGTTAATACATAGAGCCCAATAAGCATATCTTGAGTTGGCACGGAAATGGGATCTCCAATAGCTGGGGGAAAGTTTAGCAAAATTTAAGGGACCTCCCAACTAAAAACCCTCATATCAATTCCATTTGGCATGGAAAATAAAAGATAGGATTGAATTGAAATACCAATATAATATGAGGGATGAAATTTAAACATATACCCTCACATGGGCACCAGTTTGTTGAAGTGAGACAGCAACGGCGTCGTTTGCACTAGCTGGCCAGGTGCCTGGCATTCGGCAACATGTCGTACCACATTTGGCAAGCTATATATATACATGGTAAACTCCAGAGTAGAGAACAAAATAAGACTCCGAGCCAAAGAATACACCCCAATCTGCGTCTTCTTCACATTTTGAAGAGGGTTAGGGTTTTGCTTCTCTTTTCCTTTTTCAACAGCAGAAATGCAGCAGCAGCAGCAGCCATCACAACCAGAGGTGATAAACCTTGCAAATGTCACCACTGAACAGATTCAAAAGGTACATTTTTTAGCACTGATATTGGGAGATTGATGTACCCAGATAGATATTTACGTTTCTTATGGTATGATTTTGGGTTTTCATGCAATATTCGTTGGATGTTTTTGTGAAAACCTTGGACGTGTTTGTCTTTGTGATCATGACATTCTTAATCATTGAAGATCGTGGGGGAATTTTTTCTTTTTTTTTTTTTTTGGTCCGGGACATGTTTTGTTTTTAAAATGAGGATTGTTTCGTTGTTTGTGTGGCTATCTCCAAAACTAATTAAGCTTTTTTAATCTGCAAAAAAGCAGTGTGTTGGTGTGACTAGCTGCTTTTTTTT